AAGGAAACCCACAGGGTTAGTGCCGGTAATTGTCATCTCCTCTCAAGGGGCGAAGCTAGTGAATATGCCACTTACGATCTTGAATCCGGGAGGACTGACGAGGGTATCGAACCTGAATTGACTAACAAACAATGAACCCCGCCAATCAAGTACTCGTAGTGAATTCGCAAAGACGTATTTGTTGAGATCTGCGAGTTAAACGGATGAATATTGTGCTACAGATAACGGTAAAAGGGGAATTATGGCGCAGGGACTTTTCGTGGTGGAGGGTGTTCAAGAGGAGGAAGACTTTTGAGGGTATCCAAAATAAAATGAAATGAAGCCAAATACCAAACAATCCGATATCGATCGCGTTTATTGAAAGTCAGTAGTAGAGGATTCATCCAGCGTAAGATAAAGCATGTTAATATTTGAGTGAATTATAGTCGAGATGTGAAAAAGCGAAGGGTGATGTTCCTCTCCGGTGATGATGAAGGATGCTTGCGGATTTGGAGTTGGTGAAGTGAAGTTCGATTTAGAAACCCAAGATCTCGGTGTACAAGAATCTTTCTTTTCCATGAAGCTTTGATGATGAAAGTCCAAACTAGTTTAATCGATTTTAGTTTGAGTTTTAGCTTTTAGTTTCCTTTTTCTGAGCAATTAGCGTCGACTGGTGGTCTTACTCAATTAGTGAATAATGGAGAAAAGCAAGTCTGCAGATACCAGGATGAACTCACTAATGATCACTTGGAGCTAGGGACTAGGTAAGCATTGACCATTCCGAAAGGGGATAAGCGGGAAACCCCGGGGGGGCGTTTGCATGTATTTCTATGAATCAGTCGACGGGGATTTCCACCTTTTGACTTTTTGTCCAGAATATGATGCCTGCTGAGCTCCTGACACCTGTAAGCAAAAGGGAAGCTAAGGTGGGACGCTAGACTGTGATGGGATTAGACTTGAGCTTAAATCCTCAAAATGGGGTAAGAAAAGAAGGCACTAGGATTAAATGAATTGATTTATTTTTTGGGGTGGTTGTTGTATGGAAGGTTTCTATGGAGGAGAGAATGATCAAGTAGGTACGTATCGTAGAGATGATTAGGTAAGGATTGATTACGAGTAGAGATTTAATAGAGATTAGAGATTTAATAGAGATTAGAGATTTAATAGAGATTTACTATCCATTAGAGTACTAGCCTAGTATCTGTCTCTCATCTCTCAATCAAGGTAACCTACTTGGGTAGCTTGTGAAGGATATTGCATTTATCATCTTGGCATTTCCTACCCAGGTCCCCCAGACAGGCAGGTATCCCTTCCCATATGTTTCTTGACCGCACATACCCGTGATGTTGACACACACACTGCTCTGTATATTACCTACACTGCAGCTTATCTCCCCCGGTACTTTGGAGTTATCCTTTCTTCACTTGACCATAGAGGAAGTTGGATATATCTGCTCGGTAGGAAGAATAGCTTGATGTGTACTAGGTATGTAACCTTACTTGGAAAGGGTACCTAATATAAATAATAACTCTATAAATTCCAACATGAAACACTACGAGCCATTTAACTGCTATGCGACGACGATGTGACTACTACTTCTACTTGTCCATCTGTCAAATGTACTCAATCCTAAATGACTACCTAGGTAGATACGTGAAAACAACCATCCAAGATACTACTAGGTACGTAGGTATACCACATGTCTTCAAGTCATTCAAATTCCCATCTCTACCAATCACCTCCTCACCTCCTCGGTAATCAAGAATCACCTAATGATTATCAAATCAATCTCCCACCGATCGTGCCAACCAAACCCTAAATCTACTCCAGCATGCAAGCCAAGTACCCGCTCACCATTCCCTTCCAATAAAGCGCGTCATCAATCGTCCCCTCACCATTATGTACATGAAACTCTGAAACACATCACATATCAGCAAACAACACTGCATACATAGGTATATACCTACATACATAGTACATACAATACATACAATACATACTTCATACCTGCGATACAAACACACAACACCATTCCCCTTCATTCATCCTTTCCCCTCCAAAAAGAAAAGGAAAAGGGAAAGACATCTCAACACCTGCAATCCATGATCCCCCTTTCTTTCCACTTTCCTTACCCGAGCAGTGAATCAGTGAATCAGTGAATATCTCACATTCACTCCTAGCTAATCAGTAGACCAAGATGACAACTTGGTTCCTGGATATTCATCAATGTGTTCGCTCAGGATCGAGTGAATGGATGTCTTGATTCCAGCCACGTTCTATGAGCAAGAGCCACCTGCATCCATGGATCCCAAAAGTTCTTTGTGGGTGAAGAAAGTGAATTTGCATTGTGGTGATGTGATCCATATATATGATATGTCATGATATTTACGAGGTGGAAGTTTGACCTCGGTTTTCGGAGTTTAGGGTTAACGCCGTGAGTTTACAGTCATCTTGATTTTGACATGGAGAAAGGAAAGAAAATGGGGAATGAGAATAAATACTAGGTAGGTATCATCATCATCATCATCATCATCATCAATCTGGACTTCTCACCACCCAAAGAGTCAAAGACAACACGGACGGAAAATGTGGAATTCCCGATCATGTACCGGTACCTGAACATGCCACGCTTACCCTTGCGCACTCATCCGCCCATTCCCATTAAGAATTGAGACCATGATCAAGTAATTACTAGGGAGATACGACACTCCGTAGATACTCTATTACCAGGTAGATATCGTAGATACCTTATCGCTACCTTATCCACCAAACTTCAAAGACATTCAATGTGAGACCTGAATCAGCAAGCATCATAACCACATCTTGGTTTGCTGGTACCAGATCCAATTTCAACATTTCATATTTCATTTCTCAATTACACTCGACATGACATGAGATATCTATCATCCAACGGCAATGAACAGATCTTCCTCATCTACCGGTCTATCGCTTCCACTTCCCGGCTCCCCAGGATCTTCATGGGCCATGTATCGAGCTAGGTTTGCCGCTATTTTTCACGGCGCAGATACGTCGGTTTTGATCGCGTTTTGGTTGTTTGGTAGGTAATCATGCTTGCATTTGCGCACGGCAGACGGAGTCGCACAACGATTCTTGGGCTGATGGTTCTACAGGTCTGATCAATAATGTTTTGTATGTGATTATTTTGTCGGCGGCCTTGGATTTGGTTGGTAGGTTTGAGTTGCTTCCCCTTTTTGACTCGATGCGCAATCGGAACTTTATACCTGGATGTTTGGGATTGCAGGGTGTTTTCAGTCGCTGACCTTTTGTATGACAGGTCCTGATATTCCGAAATCTGTCGTTTTACTCGCAGATGTCCTACCTTCTTTCGTAACGAAACTCGTCGCTCCTTACTTCATTCATAAGATTCCTTACTGGATACGCATCATCGTCTTTTGCTCCTTATCCTCGGGGGGCATGCTCCTCATTGCATTAACTCCCGACGACAAATCTGTATCGACAAAATTATTCGGTGTAATACTTGCGAGTCTCAGTAGTGGTGGTGGAGAATTAAGTTTCTTGGGTCTCACGCATTACTATGGACATTTCAGTCTGGCAGCATGGGGAAGTGGAACAGGAGGGGCAGGCTTAGCAGGAGCTGGATTGTATGTTCTTTTGACAACTATCATTGGACTATCTGTCAAGATCAGTCTTCTAGCTTCTGCTTTCTTGCCTTGTATAATGCTTATCTCTTTCTTCGTTATACTACCTCAAGGACCATTGAGGAGAGCATCTCTAAGGAAAGATTACAACACACTCTCTGGAGAAGATTCGCTTAATCAACCTCTTACGAGTTCAGATATCGATGATCTACCACCTGATTCAGCAGCGGCTTCTCTACTCGCACCTGGCCCAGCCATCGCATCAGAAGCCTACTCCTCACACTCTCCCCGGCCCTCTTCTCCGGGATTATCTCATCATGAACCGAAATCGACTTTCCTCTATAATCTCCACCGCGCCTCCTCTCTTTTCTTTCCCTACATGCTTCCTCTCCTCCTCGTTTACATAGCCGAATATACCATCAACCAAGGTGTCTCTCCTACTCTACTCTACCCTACTCCTTCCTCGGGAAATCCATTTTCTCACTACCGCTCCTTCTATCCCACGTATGGATTTATCTACCAGCTCGGCGTTTTCATCTCACGCTCGTCTACACCTTTTTACCGAATCCACAATCTCTATATCCCGTCATTCCTCCAGATTGCAAATCTTTTCCTCCTCATTTCGCAGGCGTTGTGGTTTTGGATCCCAAGTGTGTATCTCATCTTTGTGGTGATTTTCTGGGAGGGACTTCTCGGCGGAGCGGTGTATGTAAATACGTTTGCGGAGATTATGGAAAAGGTAGTAGAGGCCGATAGAGAGTTTAGTTTGGGGGCCACGAGCGTGAGTGATAGTGGGGGGATATGTATAGCAGGGTTTGTGGGGATGGTTCTGGAGGTGAGTTTGTGTGAGTGGCAGGTTGAGAGGGGGAGGGGGTGGTGTAGGATGACTTAGCGAGGAAAGGGGAAACGGGAAACAGAGGTGAGATGATTAGATTGATAGAGGGGGGAGGGAGAGAGTGATAGAGAAGAGGGTGATGGAGATAGAGAGTGGGCATGGAGAGAACTAAATGATGAGGGGGTCACCGGGAGTCACCGGCGTTGGGAATTTTTCGTTTTATATCACGCATGCATACATAGATAGATATACCTTTCACTTTGAAATCTTGTCACTAGTTCCACTTTGTTTTATAAATTCGTCTTGATTTCCATCTATCTTCCTACTTTGATTCTACATACCACTTACTTATATCTAACCTACTAGAAGCGTAGTACTCACTCACTCACTCACTTACTTTCCTGACATTAAGCTCGTTCGTTAGCAGTTAATTATGAGGATTCATCACCCCTACTCTTCCTTTCCTCTCTCCCCCTCTCCTCTCTCCCCCTCTCCTCTCTCCCCCTCTCCTCTCTCCCCTTCGTCCGCAATATACGATGTCCTTCTATAATCGTCTCTCTGGTTTATCATCTCATTTCTGATTTCCTTCCCTTCTCCGGATTTCCTCTCTCTTTTGATTTTTTTGATTTGGTTTTCTTGATTTGGATTTTCTTGCTTGTTAAGGGGTTGTCGAAGATATCTTCTTGACTTGTTTGATTTAATTCGATTTGATTTAATTCGATTTGATTTGTTTGTATCGAAGCGGCGGAGGGGGGGAGGAAAGGTAGAGGAGGAGGAAAGGTAGAGGAGGAGGAAAGGTAGAGGAGGAGGAAAGGTAGAGGAGGAGGAAAGGTAGAGGAGGAGGAAAGGTAGAGGAGGAGGAAAGGTAGAGGAGGAGGAAAGGTAGAGGAGGAGGAAAGGTAGAGGAGGAGGAAAGGTAGAGGAGGAGGAAAGGTAAAGGAGGGAATATCGATTAATGTCATGGTAATGGTGATGTGGGTTTTGGGGGGAGAGGGGAGGGGCGGGGGAGGTAAAGAATATATGAGATGGATGAGTGAGATGGATGAGTGAGATGGATGAGTGAGATGGATGAGTGAGATGGATGAGTCTCTGGGGTTTGTTTCTTGGTTTGATATGGAAGATATGAAGGGATAAAGGGATGGAGATATAGATAGATAGGTAGGTGATGAAGGGATAAAGAGATAGATAGATAGATATAAAGATGAATATAAAGGTGAATATAAAGGTAAGTATTTAGGTAATATAAATATAAATATATATATAAATAGATATATAGATATATAAATAAGAGATAAAGAGGTATATAGATATATAGATATATAGATGAAAGATATATATATAGGAGATAGAATGAGATGGATTTTTTTATAAACTGGATCTGGGTAGGTGGGTGGGTACTTGAGTGACTTGGACCTTTAGTTGGAAATGTGATTTGGTGATGGGGGGATTGGGGGGTTTGAGGGTTTGGGGGGGATAGGAGAGTTGTGTTGTTAGTGGTTCTTGAGTTTGGATTGAAGATTTGGAGGTTTGGGGTGGGAGGTTTGGGGGTTTGAGGGGTGAGATATTTGAGGGGAGGTTTGTGGGTGAGTTTGGTGTGGTAATTGAATCTGATAACGATAACAATGATGGTGATGGTGACGCTGATTTGAGAAGAGGAGAACGGTGGATATGTGTATATATGCTTGTGGGCGAAGTTTGTTGAGAAGTAGTTATTGAGTATTGGATATCAGATTCCACCTCGTCTCATCTCAGATTTGGGAATTGGAAGCAAAGGGTGAGCACGAGGGGAGGGGTATAAGGCGGAACTTTAGTTGAGGATCTGTGATGAGGATGATGTTGATGGATAGGTAGTAGAGATATCCATCCATTTTGATATGTGAAATTTAGATGGCAATATTGTTCATCGTTTTGATGTATAGAGAAGCGATGTTGGTTGATTTTTCACGAATTGTGCCGCAAGACTTGTGCTGCAAACTTGCAGATACAGAATGCTTGAATGGTAGCAATGAGAGTTGGGGTCTCGACTGTAAACTTTTTTTTCATTGATGTCAAAACATTGGGATGGTTGGCTAGAAGAGGTGTACCGGTCGGTATCTATACAAATATACGTCGTAACCATGCAACGCAAACCTCAAAACCCAACAAAACATGGGGAGAAATTCCTTTTCCATATCGATTACTAAGCATCCAACTATTATGCCATGCACCACCATGTTAGCAGAGCAGAGGCTTTGATGTGACTAAAACCCCCATCATACATGTCCACCTAGAGTTACACTTTCTCGACTCTCCACATATCCATCCGCCCAAACCAAATGTTAGTTCTCCAACTACATCCATCGCCAATCGGACTGTAGTAAAAAAGGGGGATGAGGTCAGATTCATGAAAAATACTCGAAAGTGTGATGTGAGAAACTAATAATAGTTTCTCCATCCCTGTGCCTCAGCCTTTAGATCTACAGCCCCAGCCATTCTAGAATACATGGCACCTATCAAAAAAGTCGATAAGCAAATGTGATATGTAACATCCAGTTCGATTGCATCCGTCGGTGCGGTGCGGGCGGCGCTGCTTGGACAGATGCGATGAAACGACTATGTTTGATAAATAAAAGGGTAGGTGAGGCAACATAAAGGTAGGTAATTGATAATTGTCATCTTGTATTTTAACTTTCATTCTCCTTTTTTGGTCGTGCGTGCTTTTATACTTTCTTTCCCTCTTAATCTTTCTCTTCCCCTCTGTTATTTGTTCATCGCATTCGAGAATTATCAAAACCCTCACATATTACGATATTCACAATGCGTTCAACATTTCTACTTCTCGCAGGCGCAATTGCATGTATGCGATCAGCATGTGAAGCTGCTTATGTACCCGGCGCAGCTTTTGATCGATTCTTTACTATCTGGCTCGAAAATCAAGTGCGTTTTTATCCTCTTTTCCCATTTCCCCTTTAAAACCCTCAAATCCCTAACCTCATTCATTCTAGGATGACTCAAAAGTCGAAGCCAATGCGGATATACTCAATCTCACTAAACAAGGCATTCTCCTTGAAAATTACTACGGACTGACCCATCCCTCTCAGCCAAACTATATCGCATCAGTCGGCGGCGACTTTTTCGGTCTCAATCATGATGAATTTGTACGCATACCACACAATGTGACGACGGTGGTGGATCTATTTGAAGATGCGGGAATTACTTGGAAGGGGTATTTTGAGGGAATGCCAGGACCGGGATATATGGGAGAGGGAAGTACTGCACAGGATGGAAAGGGATGGGATTATGTTAGGAAACATAAGTGAGTTATACCCCGAACTACTCTCAATTGAATAGTCTGCCTCCACGGCAGTGGCCCTCGGAGAGCCAGCGGAGCGTCATTATCTTCAGGGAAACGATCCAAAAACCAATGCTAATATGATTAAATAGTCCTTTTGTGAGTTACGATAGTATAAACACAAACGGTACACGACTTCAAAATCTCCTCTCCTTGGACGACTTTTCCACGACCGTTAAAAGCGATCCATCCTCTTTACCACAATATGCACACATATCCCCCGACATGTTGAATGATGGACATAACACCTCTCTATCATATGCAGCCAATTGGACGCGATCATTTCTCACTCCTCTTCTTCAGAATGAAGCATTTATGAATAATACTCTCATTCTCCTCACTTATGACGAATCAGAAACCTATTCCAAACCAAATCGAATATATTCCGTACTTTTAGGTGGTGCTGTTCCAGCAGACAAAAAAGGATCTGTTGATACAACCATTTATTCACATTACAGTATCCTTTCCACCTTAGAAAACAATTGGGGTCTCCCTAATTTGGGTCGTTACGATGTTGGCGCCAATGTCTTTGATCTCTGCGCTTCGAAAACAAATTATACAAATATAAACCTCAACATGACAATTCTTAATAACTCTCTATCATACCCTGGATTCTTAAACAACGATCCCGCAAAATGGGCACCAGTCCCCGTCCCGAATCTTCAATTAATAGGCGCAGGCGGAAAAGGTGTAGATGATTACACGCATGCCGAATGGGTTAGTGCTAAATCAGAAAAAACCCCCTATGATGGAAACGGAGAATTCTTTGATGGTGGAAACGGAGTAACTGATGAGCGAAAACCGGTATATGCAACGCAAGGAGCGAATGTGGTAGCTACCGCCACTGTAGCACAGCCATATAGCGCGACTGCAACGCCTACTAGTGCCAGCACAAGCATGACTAGTGCGAGTGCATCGGCGAGCGCGACAAAGGGGAGTGGAGCGGAGAGGAGTAGAAGTGTGGGGATGGGATGTGGGAAGGAGGTTTTGGGATTGTGGGTTGCGTTGGTTTTTGCGATTGTGGTTTTATAGATTTGATTTGATTCTTGGGGGTTGTTAGATGGTTTGGGGTAGGGCTATGTATGTATGTATATTAGAGGAGTTTTGGGGTGTACATTTAGGGATGTGTTATGATGGATGGGTAGATACCAATGGGAGAATAAATGGAATTTAAGGTTGGTTTTTGAAGGATGATCTTGCAATCTTGGTCTTTAAGTTTGTCTTTGAATCAGAACCCGGTCTAATCTTGATCTTGGAATCTAATTAGTAAGTGATTCTTTTCCCTCATCGTCGAAGTTTGTGATTTGTTTCCGGAGTAGAGATTTGTATCTTGGCTTGGCTTGTCTTGGTTTATTTTGTAGCTCTGTGGTTCTGTGGTTTTGTAGCTCTATGGCTCTATGGCTCTGTAATTTTGTAGTTCGGTAGTTCTGTAGTTCTAGACTTCTATTTGCTAGCGCAAATATTTCCCTTTCGTGACGATTTTTTTGAGATGATTTTCTCAAATCGCATATTGTGAGTTGTCGAGTTTTTGTAGGTCTTCCTTTTAGGGCCTTAGGGGGTTAGTCCTTTTAAAGAGTATCCCTTTAGAGAGTATCCCTTTAGAGAGTAGCGCTTCTGGAGGGTATTCCTTTTCGAAACAGAATAGAGAGATACACACGAGATAGGAGTGAGTATCTCAACTGTTTCTCGATCTTGAGTGAGATTACTAAGTAGATCGAGATTACTAAGTAGTTGTAGTTATTCTTGTTCTCGAGTTGTGTATAGGTGGATGGGTAGGTATGTAGGTAGATAGGGTCTCTTTCCTTCTTTCTTTAGGGTCTTTTTTTAGGGTTGGTCTTTAGGGTCGGTAGAGTCTTTGATTCGTATATTCTCAGAGTCGTGAGTCGTCTATACACTCTATATGTATAGGTATAGGTGTATAATACATCGAGATAGATATATGATTCTTGATCCGCTTTGTAATTCTTTGATTACTTAGTAGTGCTTATTAGCATATCTATCATGCTGAGTGGATAATAAGACTGAGTTAGTAGATGGATCATCGCGAGCGATAGTCTTTGTTGTAATGAATGATTGGATTCTAGAGGTTGATGTGGTATATAGTAGTAGGTGGATGTAGTAGGTAGATACCTATCTACATGCTTGTTCGTTCGTATTCTCGAGCTTGGTGTAGATAGTAGGTGTAGGTAGGTATGTAGTAGTGCTATTTTTTTTTATAGCTGGGTAGGTAGTTGAATAGGTGGGTAGGTGGTCGAGGTTTTCGTGTATTGTTTTGAGTTGAGTTGGATTGTTGTATGGTTGGATGGTATGATTTGTAGATTCGTATATTCGTATTAGTTGATTGAGCTTTGTTATTCGTAGATTCTTTTTGGGATGGAGTTGGGGCATGTATATTTTGAGATGGAGTTGGAATATACATGCCTAAGTAGGTAGATAGTTCTTGTGTTTCCTTAGTCTTGATTGAGTCTTCTTCTTGATGATTTGGTTATTGATTGTTAGGCGGTTAGTGTTTGGTATTAGGCGTTGGGCGTTTAGTACTGAGTACTCAGTAATAGGATATAGGTGTAGTAAGAAGTTATATTCGTGGTCTTAGTAAGACAAGGTGCCTAGTCGCGATAGTTATTCGTTAAT